CCCTCCCTTCTTCCCAAATCCCTTTGTTCCCGGTTTCTCTCCCTCCTTCCCCCCAGGCACAGGGGATGGGGTTTAGAGTCACTGCACAGGCTGGTGGTTCCTGAGCCCTTCCTCCTCAGGAAGAAGATTCCTCACAGTCCTGCCCTGCTCCCCACGGGTCCCTCCCATGGCAGATGCTCCCCCAGCTCCTCCAGGAGCCCTTCCCACCAGGAGCTGCTCCAGCGCTGCCCGCAGAGTCCCGGGGGCTTCGGGAACAGGCACCTCCCCTGGCCTGGGGGCTCCCACAGCTGCACCAGCCCAGCCCACTGGCCACAACATCCAAGTCCACCGGCCAAGTTCCCCCCTCCTGGCACCACCAGGGAATGTTCCCCCACGTTCCTCCATGAGGGCAGGGGCACAGCTGCCATCTCGCCATGGGCTGCAGGGAAACTTCTGCTTGGGCACCTTCTGCCCCTTCTTCCTCACCAACCACCAGCACCTCTGCCTCTCCAGCCCAGCCAGAGCTCCCTCTGCTCAGCTCTTACCTCAGTTCTTTTGTTAATGGCAGAGGTGAATCTATTGTCCCTCTAATGGCACCTCGGCTGGTTTGGAGCAGAAGAAGCTTCTCAGCTTCTTACTGGAGCCACCCCTGGGGCCCTTTTGCTACCAAAACCCCCCAAACCAAGCCAGCACACCCCTCCATCACCCTGCACCTACCTGGATCCCACCTGGCTCACCCAGTGCTGCCTTCAGGTTGGGGGGAGCAAACCTGCCAGACAGCAGGGACAGAGCAGAGGGGCTGCAGGGAGTGGGCAGCAAAGGTGAAGCTAAAACGGGCAACAAGCAGAGAAACATCCCGAGTGAGCTTGGCCACATGCCTGGGGCTGAGAGCTTCCAGCTGCCAGCTGAAATAAAGACACCAGGGCTTCAGCCTGGCTACCATTAGGGGTTACAACAAAAAAGGGCTAAACTGAGGAAAGTAGCAATGGCAAAGGTGTAATAGGTTCCATAAGGATTCCCAACAATTTTTCCTCTGGTAGGTATCAAGCTTGTCCTGAAAGTTGCTGGAAGCTTGAACACAGAGTTTAGGGCTACATCCAGAGTTTATTCTACATCCAGAGTAAGCCAGGAAGGCCTGAGAGGACACCTGTAGATCATGCTGAGTGTTTTGATTTCTACACTAGTTGGAGAAATAGGAACAGTGTGTATTTATCATATCTCTATCTTTAAGAGAGAGATTGTCACTTGTCAAATTCTGAGCTGATTGTTAACATTTGCAGGCTGTTTACAAAAGCAAAAATCTGGCACAAGTAATTCTACAGTATGATTGAAACAGCTCCCTGGACTGTGCTGCAGCCCATACAAGCAAGGAGCAGCAGCTCAGCACCTTTCTCAGGGAGATTTCAAGAGAACCATAAAATAATGAAACAGAAAAGGCAACAGACACCTACCTTCAGCAGCATGGATTCCATAATCCAGGCCAGGAGACCCACATGATGCAAAACCAGTTATCTTCTCTAAATATGTTGGCTCCAAACAGTAAGCAGCTTGGAGAGACACAATTTGTGCTTCTCTGTCATAAACTGTGGTGGCACTTCTCACTTTGGTGAATGCCTGCTGTAGGCACGGGGAGGAAGCTGAGGACTCATTTTTGGCAGACCAGGAACAAGGTAGAACATTGCTGAAGAGATGCTGGATAAATTGCCTAAGGTAGAAAGGTTTAACAAGAGGGTCTGGAGGAGCTGGAATCAGGTTAATAGCTTAGGACCTTGCTGGCAGAGCTGCACAGGGTGTCCTCCCTTATGAGGAGCAGTGGGAAGGTCCCCTACATCCTACTGTGAGAAACGTTTGTGGTGCCAATGAACAGGCCCACCCAGATCCTTCAACGAAGCAGTTCATTTACACTCTTGCAAGAATGGGTGACCTAAACAAACAGGCACACCCATAGTCAGGTGAATAACGGTTTATATTCCCTATTCCCGACTCTAAGTTCCCTCCCCTGCTTCCCCACTGGCTGGGTAGTCCAGGGTTCACAGCCCATCCAACACTTCTAATGATACTGTAAGTTTCCCGCCCCTGTTCACACATTCCATTCTAGCAGGTCACTTTTTACCTTTTAAGGTAAAATTTTGACCTTTCTTGCCCCATTGGCTGTCTTCCCAATTAACAAATCTACTGGTGTCCCCCTGCCCTGAGGAGCAAGATAGAAGTGGCTTTGTTGGGTCTTATCTTGGGCCATAAATCCTGCTCCATGTTTGGATCCCCAGATGGAGCCCAATTCACTCCCTCAGTTTCTTGGGCCGTAAACCACTCCTGGTGTCAGATATCTCACTTATCTCAAACAAACTATATATTTCTAACACCAGGATACATATAAACCAAATCCAACACTATGTTTCTAACACTAGAATGCAAAATCAACACTACATTTAATTTCTAACACTACCATGTGAGCTGAAGTACCTGGTCAGAGATTATTTGACCTGGGCATCCAAAATGAGAGAGCAGATCTCTCCTTCTCAGATATTCCAAACCCACCTGGATGCAGCCCTGGGTAATGTGCTCCAGGTGATCCTACTTTAGCAGGGGAGCTGGACTGGATCATCTCTAGAGGTCCCTTCCAACTCTGACAAATCTGTGATGCTGTGATTAACATCTCCCTCTTTGCTTTAGCTCCTTCTCTCTAAAACATGGACCAAAGTATCCCCTCTCTCTACATGGCTGAAAATAGGATGTTGTGCAGCACCAGGGCCAGAAGGACTTGGTAACTCTCAACAGTCAGCA